GTAGTTCCTGAGATTAGCGCGTTCAACCAAACAAACAAACAAACTTTAACAAATAAACAAATAAATTGCCTCCTATCACATAAAAAAAAAAAAAAACAAACAAACAAACAAACAAACAAACAAACTCCTCAGCTTTATAATATTAGTATAGATAAAGGAAATATTAATCGTAAGTGGAAAGAAATCCATAAAGCGCACTTCCTAATTTAATTTTCTTCCGGAGTCCGGGCTAACTCAACGTTATATAAATAGTACAAACTCGGCCTAGTTTTGATGGTATCTTAATACCATCTGAAGGTATATTCTACAAGTAAAAGATGTCACGCTCCATCGGCTTTAATGGCATCCGAATTCCTTCTGTAGCATCCATTGTCTTCCGCCTCCCATGCGTAACAATTGCTACCATTTATCTTGCCATCATCTACCTTTGGGTAATCTTAATTGGACAAGATTACTCCAGTAAACTTTACCAAACTGGGGCCAGTGGTTGTCAAATGGATCCCAAACCAAAAGCTTATGTAGAGTCGTTGTAAGAATTTGCTAAATTGTTGATCCAAATAATAAACTTAAAAAAAAAAGGTTACGTGTAGGTAAGTTTTCTAACATTGAACATGATTTATTTCAATCTCAAAACTTAATAACAAAAACTAAAGTTTTTTCGGGCCTGAAACTTACGTAACCGAACATTAATTAACCAATAAGTGGTCAGTAGATTCATTTGAAAATCAGATCACATAATATGTAACTCATATAAATACGAGTATGTCGCATTGAGACCCGTGTTTCTCTACTTTAGTACACAATGTGTACTACACATAGACCAAGTAGGATAAATGGGCTACATTTCCTAAAAGTCAATCGTGGGTGTATTGACACAAATAAGGATGGCTAATCAAACGCCTCCAATTGGTTATTTCGAATTTATGGCTCCAATTTGCTTGTGTTCTTCAATGTTTTTAGAGTTTTATAGGCAATCATGGCGCGTCGTGGGCGAAACGAGGTTTTTAATGAAAATTATACGATTACCGGCGAGCTTATTAGTTTATTGTAGCGATTTGTTGTGGTATACATATGATTCACTGGAATTATTGCGGTTTGTTTATTACTTAATTAGATAACCACCTACATTATTGTTATGCTTCAAGCAATCTTAGAACGCCCATGGATAGTCTTATGTAGGTACCTACTTTTTCATGTAGAGTTTCTATATAACTAAGTGCTGTTGGCCTGAAATGTATCATTTATTTTCTTCACCCGAGAAAGGCATATACCCGTAGGTCGTAGGTAACATCAGTTTTCAATATAATGTTTTTCAAGTTAAAAAATCGCGACTTTAAACCACAGCATTATTTGAAGTTGTGTTGAATATGAAAGTCATTCCACTCCATGCTCTACGCTCTACCATTATTACCATGAATAACATGGATACCGTATAATAGCATTTCAAATTACAACCACGGTTATTGCCTATCAGCTATCAAGCTAACTTCAAAAATCATGAAAAACCCATGCTGTTATCAACCGTGATTGATGAGGTAAAGCCAGCATTGGAACCACCCCGTGCCTGCCACCACAACGTTCCGATTAGAAAACTATTACTGCTGGAACTCTATGACTTTACAAAAGGTTGCTAACATGTAAAGGTACGCCGAACGCCATGACAAGCCGAATGCAAGGTAGTCCAAAGATTAATGATCTGTAAACTGTTAATTAAAGGCGACTAAAATACTCGTAGTTTTTGTTAAATTTTAGCGAAGTCACAGCGAGACCATTGTACTGTTTACGCGCTATGTTGTGAAGTTTTGGTACAACTTTTGAATAGATTTTAAAATTCAACGGAAAGCTAAGACCAATTAAATGTTTAGTTAACAAAAAATGGTTTGATTGTCATTTGTTTCGTTTTCCTAGAGTCGGTTTGCCAAATAATTTTAATCTGTAGAATAAAAAATACGTGTTGGTATTTTATTACAGGGTCAGTCATCATCATTTTACGCATTTAATAAATAAGTAACAGTTACTTATCTGGTCATTGATAAATATGCATTGAGACCTAATACCAACACCAATTAGCGTCTGTAGGACCAATTTCAGTTATGTAGTGTACCTAATACGAACTTTTGTTTGCGCAGACACATTCAATATTTGTCCCCCAGCCTTACCCCATCTAGCTTCCATTCTAAGGACATAAACCGCATTGATCCAGCTCATGTATGTTTTATTAACGGAGGGGACTTTTCACTGCAAGGAAAATTGATTTCGTGACAGAGACCGTTTTTTATTGGATTTGTAAGTTGGATTCTAGTCGTTTGGTTTTTTTCACGACTGCTGAAGGATTATATTATTGATGTTCAGAAAATCTTATATGATTGTGAATTACTCGTATTTGCAAATTGTGGTTGAAGTTCGCTGGATGACAGTTCTGTATACCTAAGTATTCTATAGGTACTATAGCATCGCCGGTCCCCCAAAGCTGAAACTATTAGCTAGTATTTCTAAGTTCGTTTCAGCCAAATGATGTCCACTGCTGGATTTCTAAGTAGTTCACCACTAAAACCTGATATATTTTAGAAATAGAGCCTATTTATCAAGACTTCGTAATCATCATGAACAATTCAAACCTAGGACTGTCAATAATTGTTGGACTCTATAACCGCTAGATCACGGAGACGTCACGCATGGTGTGGCCACAGCCTTAGCGGAGCACAAGACTTAGTGCTATAAATAAATTACACACAAGGTACAATAAATGTGATACATTCGCTCCGCACGATTAACCGCACGTTCGAAATGAAAGCCATTGACTCACGGTAATAAATCGGTAAAACTCCTGAAAGACCTGAACGAAATGCGATGCGACTTGTAACGTATTTAATTAGGATTAAGAGCTTAAACAAGATTTTATACAGGCAGATAAGAGATGAGATCGTCCGACGACCTCATAAAGGTAGCAGGAATGCGCTGGATGCAGGCCGGTACCAATCGGGCGATATGGAAATCATTGGGGGAGGTCTACGTTCAGCAGTAAAATGATGATAATGATGATGATGAGATAGGAGATGAGCATAACATATTTTAAACGACATGAAGTGTTTTTGATTTTTCGAATAACTTTATAAAATGTTCAATCACATGTTAAGATGATATTCATGTAGAGTCGTTTATTTAATTAATAACGGTTAACCACTCCAATCCTCATACCGAGTTTTTTGTCGGCTTATGACAATGGAAACAAACTCTCAATATTGAGAACGCCCTTTGTACCAAATAAATGGGCCTAAAATCTTGTTCCTCATCTCAGAGTTAGGGCGTAACTTGAGAAGTAATGAGCTGTCCTACATTATATTACCTTATTAAGTCTTACGTATCAAAGAGGTTATTGTGCGCCCACGTGGTTTTATGATCAGTAAGATTGGACCATTAATAAGCAATAACTTTTCTCATCAAACGTTTCATCATTCTTTCTTTATTGCCAAATCGTGAGACTAAACTTAGTTCTTAATAACTCGTAAGCTTCAATACCTTTCTAAACTTAAACTACTACCTTTACCTGTTTCTGATTTACTACCTAACCGTAACTTCGCCCTATTGTTGTTCTTATCGACTACTCCATTCATCATTGGTACAAACTTACAAACAAACAGAGACTTAATGAGTAGGGCAACGGCCCTCGGATCACGCCTCCTGCCCCAATTTTCATTATTGTGCCAAAAATAGTCACGCACGTCTTCTTGCGTGTGGAGCAAGTTTAGTGGACAAGCGACTTTAACATTACAAAAATACTTCGCTTGTCTTAATTTAATTTTAATTATATTCAGACGCATGCAACTATAATAGAGGTACGAGGTTTATGTCAAAACCCTCATCGGAGGTCAACGGTTTAGTTAATACTGCGTGCTATGTTAATTACGAGTAGGTAAGTATTTCAAGTGTTCTTGAAGAAAACCTAAAAATTAATGAGCTTAATATTACACAGTTTGCTTCAAAATAATCCCATTCATAGAAAAACTCGCTATGGAGTCTAATTTATGCCAACGCCTTATCAAATTATCAAGTCAAAACGACAAAGAAAATGTTTGAAAGGGAAAGACGTTGAACCAAATACATACGTTTATAATAATGATAGATTTCCACAAAAGAAAGCAACCCTTAGTACCGGATATTACTAGGGCTTTCATGGTATTAAAGGCGATTGTCAGTTCGAATAGACAAGTATTCGAGCCATACAATGTAGAGCCAAGCCGTGTCATGAAATCATTCAGAGAGTTTGAAGGTACATTGTTCCAAACCAACTGAGTCTAGAGTCTAGATGTGTCTTTGTTACTTTACAAATAAGTATTTTATTAGCGTGGTCCAATATTCTAATTAAGATGAAGAGTTATGCATATGAAAGAACTTAGCGAATTATCAACGGAGACATCTTAGCTACACTTTGCGATTGTGCAGGGCAAAGGCACGGTTAACTACATTGCAAATGTTTTCTTCACTTCATCCTCTACCTTATTATTCCGTTCATCACGTCACTTAGTGCACACCAATGGTGACCGAGTTTCTTGCGCTGCTTCTTCTCAGCACTGGCCCATGCCCGAAGTAGTGTTAGGGTTAAAGCAACACCACAGAATATACACTGGGACATGTCAGAACCCTATTTGCAGATAAATGACTTAAGACTTAATTTCTTAAATCTTTTTCTTAAAGGTTTTAAACCTTTGTTTGTCACCTGTCATCCGCTTTGCAATGGAGGGAAGTCGAACCTTAATTTCGAACTCCTCCTATGTTCTTCTGATTAATTTCGTTGCGGGTCCAATGACAGTTTAACTTTCCCCCGGGACAAACTTGACCTTCATTGGTTGGGTTTTTTGTGGCGGTCAAGCTGTAGATCCTGGCTACACAGGAGTTGCAGTGGTGGGAACGAGAGGTGGGAATAGTCCCGTTTAAGACTTAATTTGTGTCTATCTTAGGCAAGCTGAACGACCACCTTAACAACAAAACTGTCTTTCCAGAGGGAATGCATCTCCGTCCACATCGGCCAAGCCGGCGTTCAGATCGGCAATGCCTGCTGGGAGCTGTACTGCCTGGAGCACGGCATCCAGCCCGATGGACAGATGCCCTCGGACAAGACCCTGGGCGGAGGAGACGACTCATTCAACACCTTCTTCAGCGAAACCGGAGCTGGGAAACACGTGCCAAGAGCCGTGTTTGTTGACTTGGAACCTACTGTTGTTGGTATGTTGTCATAGTAATAATATGACGGAGGAATGTATTTACCTACCCTACAGAACAGACAATGATGGTAGTTAGTTACAAAATTTACTTTTCAGTTAAGTGAAGTATTGAACTTTTGATTGAACGATAGCAGACGACTATAGCAGCTTCAAAATGTGCACCAAGCTATTAATGAGGAAGGGATAGTCAGAGTTTAGATTGTTGCTCTTATACCACACAAAACTGGCCCATTCATTGTTCCGAAGCAGGGTTAATACTGGGACGTTGAAAAGTGTTTTTTAAAAGCCTACTTGCAAAAATAAAATGAGTTTTTGTAAGAATGCACATTGTGAATCTGTTTGTGGACCAAATTAATAAATAAAAAATAATAAAGGAAAGAAATACACACAAAAGAGACGGCTAAATTTGATATAAAGTTTAAGATCCAATGGCAACGATTACTATTTCATGAGGAATATTGACGATATTAATTCCGATACCTACAAGTGCTATAATAAACCCACGGTTAGATTAACTCTTCGAATCACGGTTAAAACGAACACTGGTTCGTTTTAGTCTGCCGGTTGTTGAACTCGGAACAACCTGTCATTACGGCCAACACTCCGAAACATATTACATTCTACCGAATATGTAGTTACATGGTTAGGGCTGTACCACATCCAAAAATTTGATTAATAGCCAATAATCCTAAAATCTCGACAGACATAATATTGGTTGGAAATGTTTAAATTCTAAATTCAGCATTCACTCTAACGCTTCACTGGTATTAAAGTAAAATAAAACATTAACAATTTTAATTTTAAAAAGTTGGTTAATAAAAATCTAGAAATCATTGGGGGAGGAACAGTGGAAAGTCCTGTGGTTGAAATGAAAATGATGTGGTTCTTTACAAAAGTGCTAACGTCAAACAAATGTTTACATACAAAGTAGATAGAGTATTCCCGTAAACTCTACAGAAACAACTTTAAATGTAACACGTCTACATAGCTAAGTAGGTACCTACATACGAGTACTACAATTATAATTTAGTGTGGTCATAACTTTACATGTTGTCGAGTTTACCGAACATTGGTTCAAGCTATTAGATGGACTGCCGATCTTGATTGTCGTGTCGATGTGCCGAGTGGCTAATGGAGAATGTAGCTTATGTTTCACTAGTTGTAGGCAGCATTATTAGATCGTATCATAACAAAATTACCCACAAGTTCTGTAACACGAATTGTTTTTCGTACAAAAACAATCGAAATTAACGAAAAATGCCTACTAATTAAACATCCATAAGGTCACCTGGGGCGAAAGGTACTATGAGGCTACAATGACTAATTGTTTTTATTCATAATCTGATGGATTTTAAACAAAGTGTCATCTGTCGCAGCATAGTGCAATCATTGCTTTTGCAGATGGTAATATTTGCTACTCATTTTATTTTGGAAATTTCATCAGATCTTTATGTATTTAAAGCAGATGACTCAAATGAAGTCAAATGATGCAGTAATTTTAAACCTGGCTACTGTTATAGAAGGTATAATCATATTAATCATCTTTATTTTTATTGCTACGTCTTGAAGTAATACAGTTCTTGGAAAGGCTAAAACAAATCAAGGCACACCAGAGACCGCGGCGAGTTCACGATTCGTTGAAATTCATTTTGCCCAGATGTGTGCATTTGTGCGCTTAGTTTGCAGTTTTAAGAAATGCATGTTTTGTAATCGTCAGAAACGGCAACATTTTACTTAATTTTAGTTGAGAAGAGATTTGATGTTTAGAATTATTTATTGTAGAAACTTGTTTATTAACTCTACTACAATAGGTACGAATGTGTCCAATACCTTATTTATTTAATAATGGAGTTACGAAGAATACTGAGCAGAATAATGCCATTTTGGTGCATTACCTTACTGTTTGGTTTTATTATATCTATTTGTTATTTTATTTTGTACTTGCATCGAATAAATACTTTTCTTTCTTTCTTTCTTTCTAAACAAGATACTCAAAGCAAAGTAGGTATTTTCTTTTGCATCAGTTTGTAGGTACAAACAATAATTTCATCCTATGACAAATTCAAACAAGCAGCGCTGACAACTGCCTAGGAATTCATTACTCATCGCAGATGGCCAGAAAAAAATGCTGTGACTAAGTAATGAAGCTCGTTCCAGCTGTGATTGGCCGACTTTAGCAACACTAGTGTAGTAGACACTACTCAGTGTTGCAAGTAACATCTAAATCTGCATATGGCAACACTCCCGTCACGCTCGGCCACCCATCCCGCTACCGCCGATGTGAACGTAGCCTTGATAGTCAATACGTGATACTAGATCCTATCCCGGATTCTCTTTTTTATTAGATACGAATACGATACCGACCAGCTAATAAAATTTTCCTATAGTTTTTCTTTATCATTACATAATGTAGAGATAGAAGAAATCTAGTATCTGACTAGGTACCTACTAATTGATTTCTGGATAATCAAGTTCTCCAAAATTAGCAGGGCATGGAACCAGTAAATCATAAGGTATCTTTGAAATTAAATAAGTATATTCCTTGATTTTAGTTAAGAATGTTTATCCTTTTAGAATTTTTGCTAAGCACAATTTTCATTAGGTAGCTTTCCAAACCCTTTGTTATTATATTTGTTCTTTTTATAGGTTTTAATTTAATGCGACATGTAAGCGATATTTCTATAATAATTAATTCCATGCAAATGACTGATTTCCTATTCACCATGAAACGGTTTAGCAAAGCATGACGTACGAGTATGAAAAATATGTTTTTACTGTAGGTAATGAAAAAGTTGAAAAGTGGATATCTACACACCCGTTTTGCGGGAATAAAAAGTGGTAATTTTAATTATAATCTGACATATCCGCAATAACGTATCATATTAAATCTAAATAATACACACTGGCAATGCATGAATAAAATAAAATATAATATCTTTTTACGTTGTGAATCGTGATTCTTTAGCGAACTTAAGCAATATGATTATGGTTGGAACACGCTATAAGAAAGTTCATTTAAATCTTTGCAATTTTACAACCTTTTAAATATGCTGATAATAAAATGAAATAAATTCACGCTTGTCCTTTTAAGATTTCTTACACCAGAAAAAACCAATACGTTTTTGAAATAACACTACTTAACTGCTAAAAGAATTTAGTGCTAAAAGCTTTCTTCCTTCAAATTGATACCATCACTCTTTGTGTTCGTGATTCCGCGGACTGCGAAAAGCTTTGGATATTGGATTTTACGTAAACCGTATTAAGGTTTCACTTAAGTAAATAAACGATTGTTGGACTTGAAACTCCGTTTATGAAGCGTTTACAAAGCTTCCTGTGGTAGGGTATTCGTTAAGGTTACCGGGATGTCACAGAACTTTAGTGTGAAAAGCTTTTTATTTTTGGGGCAAATGGGTTTTTATTGCCTTTTATATCAATAGGTACTCGTTTCATTCCTACCAACAATAAAATCTGTTTCTGTTGTAGTCGAGCTAAGTACAACATCAGCATCAGCAGTCAGTCAAAAAATAAAACGGATTTTGAACTCTACTTCTTCAATATAGGGTTGATGTTGTGGAATCAATCAATCAACATCAACACTACGCTGCCTAACATTTCAAATATGAGGGTCACTTTAGTTCGAAATCGTCTAAAACTGTTTTTGCGACGACACTACCGGCCGTATTCACAAAGCAGCAAATCGAACGCACAGCGTTGAATAGAGCTCTGTGATTGGTTCGTGTATCCCTGTGCGTCCACGCGCACTGTGAGATCTCATAGTAATGTTTGTGAATAAAAATACGAGTGTATTTACAAGGAGGACCGAAAAACAAAGAGTGGAAACCTTCTTTTCTTGTCTCAAACTCGACCAAAAAGATATTTATGTAGCCCTGTCACTCACAGCATTCGTTATTATCTTAAAACCTTGGAATCCCGCCGCTTCAATTGCCTCAAGTGCGCGGGCGCATCTGCCGGACACTCGCGCTATCTCGATGCTTCATTGCTTTCTTCGCCTTACGCAATACGGCTAATTGCATATTTAAGATAGAAGTAACGAGAATATTGAACTGACTTCAACAGCAAAATGCACAAATCATGAAATAAGGATTTCAGAAATAGAAATGTGTTGTGTTGAAATAAAACAAAAGAATAAAGACTAAAGATACTTACGTGGATTTATCTGCGATCCAGCTCCATTGCGGTCCAACTCCAGAACACTCACTTTAACATCACATCACTTTCACTGTTAAAATACAACACACAATATCAATAACTACGTCTTGTTTCCGCGACTTCACATAATAGTAGTCTTTGGACTTCACCATAATAAATGGCGCAGCAAGAGAAAAAGTGACTAAAATGCGGGTAGAGCAAAAAATAATGTCATCTCGTTTTCGAACATTACCGTCACGCGTGCTTCATTGTCACAAAATAGAGGTGGTTTATCCAAACGGTAATGTAGGTAGACCTTGGGTTTTGTGCCTTGGGTGACCTAATAATACGAGATAATTTCAATAATTTTTAATTTATCTGCTAATATTTCATTGAGGTATTGATTAGGTGGTTAAGTGCCCGTAGGAGCCTAATCAATTTTGAAGTTTCCGTTATTTTTTTAAACAATCGATGTACCTAAGCGACTTCTTGGTTCACAATTTCACATCTGAACTAAATGTTTTTCAATTCTCACCTTCTTAATACCACCTTTTGCCCACAGACGAGGTCCGAACCGGCACGTACCGGCAGCTGTTTCACCCAGAACAGCTTATCACTGGCAAGGAGGACGCGGCCAATAACTATGCGCGCGGCCACTACACCATCGGCAAGGAGATCGTGGACGTCGTGCTGGACCGCATCAGGAAGCTGGCCGACCAGTGCACCGGCCTGCAGGTACGAGATGTGTTCTGTGAGATCCCGTGCCGCCAGTGTTCCGCCCGGAACAACTTGTCATTGGCAAGGAGGACGCGGCCACTACACCATCGGCAAGGAGATCGTGGACGTCGTGCTGGACCGGATCAGGAAGAAGGCCGACCAGTGCACCGGCCTGCAGGTACTGAGATGTGTTCTGTGAGACCGCCCCGTGCCGCCAGTGTTCCGCCCGGAACAGCTTATCACTGGCAAGGAGGACGCGGCCAACAACTACGCTCGCGGGCACTACACCATCGGCAAGGAGATCGTGGATGTCGTGCTGGACCGCATCAGGAAGCTGGCCGACCAGTGCACCGGCCTGCAGGTACGAGATGTGTTCTGTGAGACCCCGTGCCGCCAGTGTTCCGCCCGGAACAGCTTGTCATTGGCAAGGAGGACGCGGCCACTACACCATCGGCAAGGAGATCGTGGACGTCGTGCTGGACCGGATCAGGAAGCTGGCCGACCAGTGCACCGGCCTTCAGGTTCGTTTCAGCCAAATGACGTCGACTGCTAGACAAATGTCTCCCGCAAAGATTTCCACAAAGACCGGTCCTGCGCTGCCCGCATCCAAATGCAGGCTGCGTTTCCACCAGAGATATGCGAGGATGCGTAGCGAGGGATGTGTTTGTAAAGAACCAATAGAATCACTTCATTTACCGAGTCGAGGTGAAAGCTCTGGTAGAAACACAGCGTAACGAATTGGAATCCCGTTCGAGAATCGGCTCCAGGCCTTGACATCTCGCATAATCTGTTACCTATTAATTATTCTTCTTCATCCAGGGCTTCCTGGTGTTCCACTCGTTCGGAGGCGGCACCGGCTCCGGCTTCACGTCGCTGCTGATGGAGCGCCTGTCCGTGGACTACGGCAAGAAGTCAAAGCTCGAGTTCTCCATCTACCCCGCACCACAGGTAATAAATCGACGACTATTCTTCAAATCTAAGTTCAAATCATGGCAGTGTTGATTAAGTGTCTGACTTAGCCCGTAAAAAATGGTTTTTCATAAGTACCACATTCATTTCTACAGATAAATATACATAGATCGATTCACCCACGAAGACGCGCCCCACCATTCTTCCGCTAATGTTAGAGTGTTATCGGTACACGCTAAATTATCAATGAGTGCACACGCACACTACAATAATGACGCTCGGATTGCTCGGATCAAACTACCCGCACCCCGCGCTTCCCTCGACCAGAAATTGGTGGGGCGCGTTTTCGTGGATGAAACGATCTTAATATTTAATTTTATAATGACACTAAAATAACCCACGTCATACTTACCTTTTCATAAAGAGAGACCATGAGGCTCTCGTCAAGAGTTTTTTCAAATGACCTAGACTTTACTTTTGAAGTTTGCGAGATGTAGCTTAGGTAATCTTATTAGACTGTATGTTTACTTCTCTATTTGTCTCCAGGTGTCAACAGCGGTGGTGGAGCCGTACAACTCGATCCTGACCACGCACACGACCCTGGAGCACTCGGACTGCGCCTTCATGGTGGACAACGAGGCCATCTACGACATCTGCCGCCGCAACCTCGACATCGAGCGCCCTACCTACACCAACCTCAACCGGCTTATTGGACAGGTATGATACGATAAGGAATTCCTACTTATGAAGGAGCAGTATCAGTGTATCTTGTCAGTGGACAGTGTATCCTGCCAAATTTAGAACGGTAGACCGACGACCTAATAAAAGTAGCGGAAAGGCGCTGGATGCAGGCCGCTGCCAACAACCTGTCAATGTGGAAGTCATTCAGGGAGGCCTATACTGAGCAGTGGACGTCCTATGACTGAAATGATGATGATTACTATGACGCTGGTAGGTTTACAATCTAAGCTGGCGAAAGGCTTTATGATAAGGTAGCCGTAGCTGGAACGACAGTCCACTGCTGGATACCCACTCCCATTGTTCGTTACTGAGCATAGTCCATGTGTATTATCTCCCCACTGTATGGTGCGCCTTACATTTCACAAGCACACCTGCATTTCAGTTGCTAAGACTTCTTTTCAGTTGCCATCATCACTCTATGATGTGTTGGTCAATACCGTCACACTTTATGCTTTACCAAGTCGGCAATAAACAAAAGCTTCGGCCATAAAAATGAATTATGATTACATAACTCACCTATTACTTTTAATAAGCGTATCAATTGCGTAATTAGAATTATTTTTTTGAAGCAATGCTATGATTTATTGATACCTACGCTGGCGGAGCGTGAATCAGTGCGCTAGTGTACGGAGGGACTGAGGTACCTTTTATCTGTAAAAAATATTACCTTAAGTGATAAATTTCTGATAATGACGGTCCTGACGGTCTCACACTTCATTTTGCAGTTTGATGGAGCGCAACGCTGCGTAACATCACCCATAATATGAAAATAGGGATAATAGAATGGAATAAAAATTCCTCGTCGTATCGTATCGATGGCAATTCGGTAGAAGGCGGCAAATACTCAGCCACACAAAACAATTGATGTCGCACAGTACCTATCTAAAAAGAGAGTGGTGAATTTAAACTGCTGGAGACATTGAAATGGTTTTTGTACTGCAAATCAAATCAAATCAAATATATTTATTTTGCGAACATGAAAGAAAGGTGAACGAAGAGCAGTGTGAGAGGAGACAACCCATTTAAAACCTTGGATCCCGATGCCCTTTAAGAGCTTTTAAAAAGGATAATACATTATAGTTAGTTAGCCTCACATAACATTTAAACATAACATAAAAAAAAACATTCATTTACCTTAATACAATTAATAACTTTGTTCCTCTCACCTTTCAGATCGTATCCTCCATCACAGCCTCGCTGCGCTTCGACGGCGCTCTCAATGTGGACCTAACCGAGTTCCAGACCAACTTGGTGCCGTACCCGCGCATCCACTTCCCGCTGGCTACATATGCGCCAGTCATCTCGGCGGAGAAGGCCTACCACGAGCAGCTGACGGTTGCTGAGATCACCAACGCCTGCTTCGAGCCCGCTAACCAGGTCAGCATCAGACATTACACGTATACATATATTTGAACTCCTCCTATGTTCTTCTGATTAATTTCGTTGCGGGTCCAATGACAGTTTAACTTTCCCCCGGGACAAACTTGACCTTCATTGGTTGGGTTTTTGTGGCGGTCAAGCTGTAGATCCTGGCTACACAGGAGTTGCAGTGGTGGGAACGAGAGGTGGGAATAGTCCCGTAATTACACGTATAATGAAGTTCGCCCTGGGTACGTACGCGCCCGTTATCTCGGCCGAGAAGGCCTACCACGAGCAGCTGACGGTCGCTGAGATCACCAACGCCTGCTTCGAGCCTGCTAACCAGGTCAGCATGAGACATTAAGGCCTATTCAGACCTAAGGCGTATTCGCTACCGTCTGCGGCAGAGAATACCCAGTGGGCATGCGGCAATAATACTGTTCAGACCTAAGCGGTATGTAATAGTATATGAAACCCGCGTGGTATGTACCTCTACCCACAGCGGCAGCGAATATCGCTCAGGTCGCTCTAGCCGCGATACTTGATACTAAATACCTGAGCAAAACCCGCGCGGTATGTACCTCTACCCACAGCGGCAGCGAATATCGCTCAGGTTTGAATAGGCCTTTACACGTATAATAAAATTCCCGCTGGCTACATATGCGCCCGTCATCTTGGCAGAGAAGGCCTACCATGAACAGCTGACGGTTGCTGAGATCACCAATGCCTGCTTCGAGCCCGCTAACCAGGTCAGCATGATACATTAAGGCCTATTCAGACCTAAGCGGTATTCGCTACCGTCTGCGGCAGAGAATACCCAGTGGGCATGCGGTAATAATACTGTTCAGACCTAAGCGGTATGTAATAGTATATGAAACCCGCGTGGTGTGTACCTCTACCCACAGCGGCAGCGAATATCGCTCAGGTCGCTCTAGCCGCGACACTTGATACTAAATACCTGAGCGAAACCCGCGCGGTATGTACCTCTACCCACAGCGGCAGCGAATATCGCTCAGGTTTGAATAGGCCTTTACACGTATAATAAAATTCCCGCTGGCTACATACGCGCCCATCATCTCGGCCTAGAAGGCCTACCACGAGCAGCTGACGGTTGCTGAAATCACCAATGCCTGCTTCGAGCCTGCTAACCAGGTCAGCATAAGACATTACACGTATAATAAAGTTCTCACTGGCTACATACGCGCCAGTCATCTCGGCCGAGAAAGCCTACCACGAGCAGTTGACGTTTGCTGAGATCACCAACGCCTGCTTCGAGCCCGCTAACCAGGTCAGCATGAGACATTACACGTATAATAAGGTTTCCCCTGGGTACGTAGGTACGCGCCCGTCATCTCGGCAGAGAAGGCCTACCACGAGCAGCTGATGGTTGCTGAGATCACCAATGCCTGCTTCGAGCCGGCTAACCAGGTCAGCATGGGATATACATAAAATCGTGTCAACAACCAGCACTGTTTAATTGATCCTTGAAAGCTGAAATGAAGGGACAGTATTATTTCGTAATGTGAGCATACGTTCAGATTCTAAATACCCTGTTTTAATGGGGATAGAGTTAAAATTTCATTCCCATCTCTTCCAATTAAGGAATCACTACAACATTTTTCTGTTTCAGATGGTGAAATGCGACCCGCGCCACGGAAAATACATGGCTTGCTGCATGTTGTACAGGTAGGATCATACTCATCATGGCATTAATTGCTAAAGCTTTACTAATCTCTATCAAAATAAGGTACGAGTTGTGTACGACGAGTGAAATCAAATCTGTGAGATTTTAACCAAATCACTTAGCCATTTAGGAGAGCTTATTCCAAGCAAGTAACTCTTCTCGTTGTATAAGTATAAAAATAAATTGTCCCTAAATTGTTCTCGTCTCGTTGTCACGATTCATCTATTGCAGGGGTGGCCAACTTGATTAGACATTATGATCTACTGTTTACTAACGAAACCCTGGGTGATCTATCACTTACATACTTCTTGAAATCTTAAATGAAACAGCACAGTTTCACGACCGCGATCGACCGGTTGGCTACCCCTGATCTATTGTTATATCAACTGTCTCTTTCATAAATAACATAACTTTACAGAGGCGACGTAGTGCCCAAGGACGTAAACGCAGCCATCGCGACCATCAAGACGAAGCGCACCATCCAATTCGTGGACTGGTGCCCGACAGGCTTCAAGGTGGGCATCAATTACCAGCCGCCCACCGTGGTGCCGGGCGGCGACCTGGCCAAGGTGCAGCGCGCCGTCTGCATGCTGTCCAATACCACCGCCATCGCCGAGGCTTGGGCTAGGTTGGTACACTTTCGTCATTTATGTAGAGGATTTTTGAGTAAGGCGGTTATCACACTGCGCCGCGCTCCGTCACGGAGCGCGGGGCGACAGATTTAATCATTGTATGCAAGTACCTCAGTTTGTATAGAAAACACGCGCGGCACTTCACACTGACAACGCGTCCGCGCGCGATTTTTTATATGAAATCACGCGCTCCGCGGCGGAGCGCGGCGCAGTGTGATAACCGCCTAACTAACTAGAGCTCTTTTTTAAGTGAAAGGTACCTAAAATTATTAATGAAGTTTCTTGTGATTTAACGTAATCTAGCCGTTATTATACTTTGGACTCCTCCTAATATACTCTTTCATTAAATTTCTTGTGGATGCTATAATGCTTCAACCACACCAACGCGTGCAGATCGCCATCACCGGTGCGATTACGGCGCGATCATAGCCCAATGACAGGTCGCGCGGACTGTCATGGGTCGCGCGACTTTGTCGGCCGTTTGGTGTAGTGGTTCAGAACGGACTGCTATGCCGAGAGGTCCCGGGTTCGATTCCCGGCCGGGCAGAAATTGAAATGATGAATTTTAATTTCTGTGACGGGTCTGGGTGTTACTATGTATAATATGTATGTATTTAAAAAAAAAAGTATATAAGTAGTATATCCGTTAAGCTAGCACCCATAACACAAGCATATTAATTTCTTACTTTGGGGCTAGATGGCGCTGTGTGAGATTGTCCAAAAATATTTATTTATTTATTATTATTATTATTTATTACTTGTCATTGGCCTATGATCGCGCCGGCGATGGCGATCTGCACGCGTTGGTGTGGTTGAAGCTTAGACAGTCAGCTATCGACAAAAATTCCTAAACTTTTGTACCTGTGTCAACGTGAAATTGTGAACTCCGTCAGTTTATAATATAACGCGTGACATACGCAAACAAGTTTATTAAACCAGCTCTTTCAATCCCCAGACTGGACCACAAATTCGACCTGATGTACGCGAAGCGTGCCTTCGTCCACTGGTATGTCGGCGAGGGTATGGAGGAGGGAGAGTTCTCGGAGGCCCGTGAGGACTTGGCGGCTCTGGAGAAGGACTACGAGGAAGTCGGCGTTGATTCCACGGAGGGAGAACTCGACGAGGAGAACGAGTACTAAACGCGGGATATATGCGTTGAGGCGTGCTATACGAGTACAACTGCTAAACGACATCAAGGATTGAAATGGACATGGAATACGGAAAACTTTGGCAAATCTGGTCTGAGTCAAAATGGACAAAGAATTTCTGAGGGCTCCACGAAAAAAGAACGTCTGATCCCATTCATCTAATGGTGGAGCTAAACTACCACGGAAAACTGGTCTCAACGAACTTCTCGAGGACTTTTATCTACTGTGGAGCCGAACTGTAGTCTCCAACAAAGTTTTACAGGATCCACCCAGATCAATCTGAGATTCTATGGATTGAGGGCATATAAGTGGTTCGGCAGATTTGATTCGACAGTTATGTTGAACTTTGAAGCCTTCCCAATGGCCTGTATGTATACTCTACCTACACAATACCACCCTGTGCGGATTAGTCAGCTATGTATAGCACCCCTAAAACGTTGCGTTCTCCACAAACTGACACGCGTCGTGTCGTAAGGCCATGCCGTAATTTGCTAGTTATAATAGTTACTGGTGCGTATACCTTAATAATAACTGTAAAATTGGTCAACTCGAATCATTGAATTATTTTATCACTTTTAGAAGATCGATTGGATCAATTCCAAGCTACCTTTATTGTAAACCCGTGCAGTAAATAATGGGAGTGCAAATCAGAGCTGTTCTTCTTGCTCACTCGTTACACTGAAAGAAAGAGAGGCACAGATAAGTTTTCAGTCCAATTACTTACGTAAGCGGGTAGTAAAATTAATTTTAAGAAATATGTGAGTTTGAACGTGTATGAGGTTGCTAACAGTACAAACTTTTGGAAAATAACTTTCACAACTGAAATGCAAAGTTTGCGTCTGTAACAGTGAATTGGTTTGTTGCATTTATTAATTATAAAATTCGTGATAATAATCTAACATTCGTAATTTAAGGCCTCTTGTAATATGAACTTAACTTATTGAGATTTTATTTTATTGTGCTTCGTATGAAGACGTAATTTTGTATGTTAGAGGATAATTTAATTTTAGTGCACAATACATTTTTACACGTAACAATTTTTGGTTTTATTTTGATTAAATATCTCGCTTAGATCAAATAGGTTTAAGAAAATGGTTTACAAACTTCTCAAATACGAATGAAACAACTAAATACATAGACATCAATTTTAATAGTAAAAATACTAACAAAATCATATCAAAACCTTGTAAATTATATACATTATAGTGACCATTGAATATTTGCGCACATTAAGTTCATAGGTACCTACTAAATATATTATCCTGTACAATATCTAAACTATGTACAGGAACGTTACCACGTTTACTCCTTACTAAATAATTAGTATTTATAATGTACAAACACAGTTTGCTCCTGGAGTCATTGGACTAGTCAAAGACTTTGTGGAACTGAAATTATTCACTACTACAGAAAATTGACGACAACTCTTTTATTAGAAGTAAGTATTGAGTTTGTATGATCATTACGGAGAAGACATTGTAGATTTTGTTTATTTTTCATCCAGGAAACAACCTATCACTTACAAGAAAAACATTGCATAAAAATATCTAAGTATTTATCAATCCCCAACGTAAAAAGAGGGGTGTTATAATTTTCATTTAGTTGTTATTTTACTTTGAGATCCAAAATATTGGTCGTTATTTAAAAATTAACAAGGATTATTATCGCTTAGAATCCTTGGGGAATATAATATTTCACGTAACTATTTCGTAATAATATTTACATAATACTTAATAAGTATAATAAAATATCAATTTCGATGCCTAAATCCTAGAACTGAAGCAAAGTCATTTACAATTTAATTTTACATCATTCAAGCACATTTGATATAACACCGGAGATTTCAAAAACATAGACAAAATACGGATTCGTTGTGTAAAAAATTCATCCAAAAAATAATTGTACCGTTATTCTAAGCCATTTATAATCGTTACGTAAGCATTGTCTTTTCTAATAATATTCTAGCGGATTACCAGCTATATACAGAGGTTGGGCATAAAATAGGACTTTAAAATAGTTTGATTTATTTGGTACCTTTATTTGAATTAGTAAAACATACTGTAAATTTTTGTATGGAAAATATGTCAAAATACTCAAAATAGATATAGAGCGTTGCATCGTTTATTCTACACATAGAAAATTATATTATCACTTTTGACGCCACACGGTTCACCAGTGAGGTGCCTCGAACAATAAAAATTCTATTGTGTCTAGTGTCTCGACTCGGCAGTCAACGACTTATTCAGTCAGCGCCAAAAAATTGTGCGCATACTCTATCCTTCATATCATTGCCTTGGCAACGGCGATTATAATCAAAATCAGTTGTTTCAAGTTCGTGGGTACAGACAACGGCACTTCAAGCAGTACACTGTGTTAAAAATAGTTATAAGTGCTATTTTGCATCAAAAATGTACAGTCTGATGCGCTGTCGACTGTACCTACGTTCGTAGGTAGGTATTTAATACACCTACCTCACAATGGCTGCCGGAGTGAGTGGCAAGCTAAAAAGCCTCGAGTGATGGCGCTACTCGATCTTATGATGGCGCTACTCGGTCTTGTGGTCGCGCTATTCTGTCTTGTGGTCGCGCTATTCGGTCTTGTGGTCGCGCTACTCGGTCTTGCGGTCGCGCTACTCAGGCTGTGGTGACGCTACTCAGGCTAATGATGGCGCTACTCAGGCTTGTCATGAAGCGGCCTGACGGCGGCGCGCGGGAACCAGCCACGAGGCCCGCGGATTTCTTCCTCACCCTCTGACTCGACCATTGCGCCGAACATCCAGTATCTGGGGGTAGATGAATAAGTTTGTAGTTTGTGGAGAGCGCCATCTAGTGGCCAACGTTGATAAACAGTACCATCAGTTTGATGAGTGTTGTACATGCAGTACCTGGGGGGTAGATGATTAAGTTTGTAATTTGTGGACAGCGCCATCCAGTGGCCAACGTTGATAAACAATATCCTAAAGTTGATGAGTTTTGCGCCAAATAAAGCCTTCTTTCAGAATCTGTATGTTTCACTCCTAAAAATGTCGATCAGGAATATGCATCTGTCAGAAAATGTGATGTTAGATTTCACGAGGCTTAAACGACACCGCACACTGGGTGACAATCGCGGCGACTATAGTCTGGTCTTCTGCGAGCACGTAGAATTTTGTCCAATGACCCCAAGCTACCCATCCTTATCGCTCGCGCGTAATTATATTGCTGTCGTGACTGTGCGACGGGTGCCCGCAGTGAGTGTGCGAGCGCGACAGCAACATAATTACCGGGCTTTAGATGCCGCGACTTGTAAATTTCACATACTAATATTATAAAGAGGAAAACTTTGTTTGTTTGTTTGGTTGTAATGAATAGGTTCAAAAACTACTGGACCCTTTTTAAAAATTCTTTCACCATTCGAAAGCTACATTATCTACGAGGAACATAGGCTAAATTTTATTTTGGAAAAAAATAGGGTTCCGTAAAATATTTCGATAATGTAGTCCATGCGCGCGAAGCCGCGGGCGGAAAGCTAGTTTCATATATTAGCGTCGTGACTCCACGACTGTCGTGACGACAAGCTAATAGACATGTTGACACCACAGTCAATTGACGTACTTTTTAAAACTGTCAAAACGAAACTCTCCCATAGATTTTGTATGGCACTACAAGCACGTGACGTCACTATTTTTTCAACCCAATTTACGATACAATCGAAATTTACAGGTAATTCAAAATAAATTAGGTTTTTAAGACCAGTATGAAGAGTCTTTTTAAAACAGTTGTGGTTTCGAATTATTGTGGTATGGTGTCAAACTGTCTATTATGTCGCTACGGAGTACGGACTCACTTCCTATGGCGCGTGACCCGCAGCAAGGTCCCGGGGCGTAGCGCCAAGCGCGGCTCGTCCGTGCAAGGCGCGTGCAGCGCGGCCCGCGGGTACTGCGCTGGCAGCCAGCGCCCGCTGTACGACGCCACCGATACTACCACGCGGGAGCGCAGCGCTTTCAGCTGCTTTTGGGCTTGCTGCTCGCGCTGGAAGCAACGAATATTGTAAGTTACTACTGAGGTCACTAAACAAATTCTTTAGCGCGCGGAATTATATGAGTCTAATGCCCGTTTTCACCATCTAAATATACAGGCTGTTAGGTAAATGGGTATATGAGGCGACACTAACCCATGTTAACATATGCATATAAATGGTATGGTGAAGTCAGAAAATTTGTCATCATTTTAATTTTTTAAATGTTCATACATAATAAATGTTCATGAAATAAAAGTTAATCATAAATGTTCATCAAATAAATTTTATGAAATCAGATTTGTATGAAAATTAAAATAATTAAAATTAAGCGCGCGGGTACTGCGCCGGCAGCCAGCGCCCGCTGTACGACGCCACCGATACTACCACGCGGGAGCGTAGCGCTTTCAGCTGCTTTTGGGCTTGCTGCTCGCGCTGGAAGCAACGAATTATATTGTAATTAGTAAGTTACTACTGAGGTCACGAAACAAATTCTTTAGCGCGCGGAATTATATGAGTCTAATGCCCGTTTTCACCATCTAAATATACAGGCTGTTAGGTAAATGGGTATATGAGGCGACACTAACCCATGTTAACATATGCATATAAATGGCATGGTGAAGTCAGAAATTTGATATCATCATTTTAATTTTTTAAATGTTCATACAAAAAAAAAATTATGAAATCAGATTTGTATGAAAATTAAAATAATTAAAATGAAGCGCGCGGGTACTGCGCCGGCAGCCAGCGCCCGCTGTACGACGCCACCGATACTACCACGCGGGAGCGTAGCGCTTTCAGCTGCTTTTGGGCTTGCTGCTCGCGCTGAAAGCAACGAATTATATGTATTGTATAGCCTGACCAGGAACATAAAAACCCTGGCATAGAGGCGCGTCAATTGCATTTGATAGTGCAACACTGAGTACAGTCGTACCTGTGTTAAATTAATAGGCTAACTTTATGTATCAGGATTCAGGATTACGGACTAATTTGATATTTTCATGAATTAACAACAAAATATTATTATAGGTAACCTGGTTTAAATAAATTAAATGAAAACATCAATCGAGCTAGTAGGATTTATTTTATTATTCATCAATAATCAAATTCAGAACTTGAATATTCAACTGCAATGTCTGCTCATGAACGCTACAAACTCGGTACTTCTTTCCCAATTCCATAAAATTCAACACTTAGAAAGTGACAAAAAACTTGAAACAAACCACAGCTAATTTTCATAGTGGACTGTACTATACGATAAACATGTCAGTCAATTTGACACCCTTGTCGGAAAAATTATTCAATGAAAATATTGTCCGAACCCTTATTATTTCTCTTCGACAAATACTTGAACACATTGTGAACCACTTTTATTTCACGACTATAAAAAGATTTTAGCAATTTAATTTACAAAATCAATTGCGCACATTTAAAATAAAGTTTGTTTACACTTTGACAGCAATAGACTGACATGCAAGGTGACATGTCAATGAAGTTTTCAGTTACTGTTGCCATTAAAAGAAATTAGTACCATTAGTTTTCCGCAACATGGCGAGGGTTTTTATGTTCCTGGTCAGGCTATAAGTTACTACTGAGGTCATGAAACAAATTCTTTAGCGCGCGGAATTATATGAGTCTAATGCCCGTTTTCACCATCTAAATATACAGGCTGTTAGGTAAATGGGTATATGAGTCGACACTGGCCCATGTTAACATATGCATATGTTACTGTAAAAGCTCGAATTGCAGTAAATCCTAAGATATTCCAGTAAAACCTAAGATCTACCAATTCCTAATGGTAAATGTCCCAAAAGGTTTGCGATTCGAACTCTTACCACCATTTCGTTGGTAAATCTTAGGATTTACATTAATGGCACGGTAAATGTTGAAAAACAAAACATGTCATTTGTATTTCTTTGTTAAATTCCAAATAGAGAACTACTGATTCAGTTAGATAGATATGATAGAGATTGAGATATTCAGAGATATACGTTATTAGCGTTCCGTAGCATGGCAAAAAACGGAACCCTTATAGATTCGTCATGTCTGTCTGTCCGTCTGTCCATCCGTATGTCACAGCCATTTTTTTCCGAAACTATAGAGCTATACTGTTGAAACTTGGTAGATGTATTCTGTGAACCGCATTAAGATTTTAATGTATAAATAAAANACATATAAATGGTATGGTGAAGTCAGAAAAATTGTCATCATTTTAATTTTTAAATGTTCATACAAAATAAATTTTATGAAATCAGATTTGTATGAAAATTAAAATAATTAAAATGAAGCGCGCGGGTACTGCGCCGGCAGCCAGCGCCCGCTGTACGACGCCACCGATACTACCACGCGGGAGCGTAGCGCTTTCAGCTGCTTTTGGGCTTGCTGCTCGCGCTAAAAGCAACGAATATTGTAAGTTACTATTGAGGTCACGAAACACATCATCCTTACCGATTTCCCGCCTTTTGTATTTATCTGTGCACTAATATTACTATTTACGTATGTTTATCTAGACAATTTTATGCAGTTTACTATTTTATTTATTTTACCAATGGTCCGTGACCCTCACTCGGCATGGGGCACACTGAAAACCAGCGCCGTGGCCTTCGTCACCGTGGGCCACGGCATATGCTGAGTGGGGTTCCGTTGCAGTGGGCATCTTGTTGGTGAATAGGTGGCTCAGTATACTCTTGTTTTTTTTTTTCTTCCATTATTATGTGCCACTGTCATATCTATGTAATTGCCTGTATTTGTGTGATGTCCATTGTAATAAATGTATCTTTCTTTCAAAGAAATTCTTTAGCGCGCGGAATTATTGTCTAAGCTGTATTCAAGAGAGTCCAATTCTAACTTGACAACCGCAAGCGCCCGCCAACATGCGTCGACGCAGCGCTGGCGTCACGTGACAAGACGACGCCGTGACGCTCGAAAGATGCTAATGTGGGGACCATCGTGACACAGGGTGTTGGGGCACCAACCCTGTGTAGGTGAAGGACGATAAATAGTGAAATAACGATGACGTAACATGGCAACACTCACAGTAAGGTCATACTGCCCGCAGCCAGGCGCCAGCGGCCAGGCGATGCCGTCGTGTCGCGCGGAATTGATGACCAGAGCTGCGTTGCGTCGCCAGCCCAAGTCGTAGGGATACATGAAGGGCGCCACGCCGCCTATAACGCGTCGTCCTACCGCCTTCTCCATGATCCAGTCTTCGATCGTGGTCCGGTTTCGGAGGATGCTTCTGACCTGAAACGACAATACCTCGCTCTTAATGAGGGCTATCGTTTTAGCGCTCACCAGTTGGCGCCACTGTAGAGTAAGGTCCTGTCACTTGCTAGTAGCGAAGACAGTGGCGCCAACTGGTGAGCGCGAAAGTGGTAGGAGGACTATCGCATTTGCACTCGTCAAGATGGCGCCACTGTAGAGTAAGGTCCTGTCTATCGCCAGGGGTGCCAACTGTTGAGTATAAAAACGATAGCCCTCATTAACCTACCTACGCCTTTTGTTAATCTAGCAGCTTTAGCTCACGACTACACGTGTATGTCTCCAACCTAACAAATGCTTTGATTGCTGTGATTATGCTTAAAAATATGGCATCCTGAGGAAGCTGGAGACATACACGTCACGACTTCTTGAGCCACGTACATTAGCTTACCGAGAGGGGGCAGGGAAGAGCAACTGCTCCCTTGGATAACGCTACACTGAATACCGAGCTATATTTAGACTGTCTAAGGCAGCGGTTCTCGAATGGTGGTCCGCGGAACCCTGGGGTTCCGTAGAAAGGCCGCAAGGGTTCCGTAAAAAATATTATCCCACGTTTTGGGACCGACGTTGTTCGCTCGCACCGACTTGTTTACGCACAAGGGAGGGGCAGGGCGTGCGGGCGGAGTAGTACGGGGGTTCCGCTAGGAAAAGTATAATCAATTAGGGTTCCTTGGCAAAAAAAATATTGGGAAACCCTGGTCTAAGGTCTAAGAAGTCGCGAGGATTCTATCAAAAAAATCTGATTTGCCATTGAAAAATAAATTATGTTAGCATCAACATCTAATCACTGACCTGTATGTACAATAAGGCCCCGACAGCCAATACAACCCCCAGAGCCATGCCTAAAGCAAGTAGCGTCAGCACAAACGTGCTGACCGTCAGGTATATCGCTGGATCTCGCTCAGTCCTGCTCTGGATGTTAGCGATTTGATTGATCACTTGATACACGCATATTGTGAGTACCTGTTGACGATAAATTTCACTTACAAAGATCAGCAAGCCATATAATAATGAATAAATAGTGCAGATGTTAGTGCATAGAAACGTGCTTGTTAGTATGCTCATTATTTACATAAGTCCTTACTATGGCAGCTTGTAAGCAGCCGATGGTGGCAGAGCCCAGGAAGATCACGAAGTAGCAGTGATTACGGTGCCCCACGCAGCAGTTGATCCACGGACAGTGGTGGTCCATCTTCATCACACACCGTCCACCTAAAATAAGATCTTTTGAAAAAGTCTTCTAATTTGAAAATCATAAATAATTTGAGATGCGATAAAAATAACTAAGGCTTCTAAATAAATAAAAAATACACTACAATCTGAACTTACATTTCCTGCAATGATGTGATCTTGGAGCTTTGTAACCATTACACACGTTGCAGAATTGTAGAAACTGTGTGTCTTCTTCTTTTGCCTTTAAAATAAAACGAGTTACATTAAAATTCAAGTTCCTTTAGGTCTTGAATTGTTAGCTTAAAGTGTAAACTTGCTAAATACTATGGCACCAGATTTACATTGTAAGCTTACAATACATATAATAAACAGATACATACTGGTTTCCATCCATAGGGAACAAATCCCGGTCCTTCCAGCAGTGATTGGAGGAAGTAGTAAAGTGTGGCCGCAGCAAACGCAAGGAATATGGCCGCGTGCACGAAGCCGCCCAGCGACGCGTGCGGCGGCCACCACATGCCCAGCATGTGGATCATAGCCCATGTTATCAGCTTTATTATAACTAGAATATAAAACATAGATATTTTTATGAACTTTCAATGATGTTTATGCACCAATTACTTCATCATTAATTCCAATCACAAACCTAAAACGCAATTTCATGATTGTTTATATAAGAGCAATGTAATTTAGTCAGTAAAACTTTAAACACTTAAGTTAAAACAATCTAAAAGAACCAGGTAATTTCAGGCTTAAATCAAGGAAAATGTCATGTAGACTGCCGCCAAATGGAGGACCAATAGAACTGAAACGAATATACAAGTTGGATCTCCAAATATTGTGTAATTCATTTAAACATTTACCTAAAACCGAAATTGGGCCCCAGTGGCACAACCTCCGAAAAGGACTAGAAGTCATGTCAATTTATGCTTATACACTACACACGATGAAGACTAGATACTCATTTATATTCAATGGTTTTTCATTTTCACAGTCTGCACAACATATTTAATATTAACTGCACTGAAGCTGAAATAGAAAAACCGAAGAAAAACAACCACAAATTCACCTCAACTTGACACTTGACAGATGATTATGACAGTAATTGTCACGTGCTGTCACTGTAAAAAATTACGTTCGTTCAGAAATTATGAAGACCTGAATATTAATGCATTGAATAAATTAAAAGGATAAGGATAAAATATGAAATCCTTAGGATATTTTTTATAAAGTTATGAGAAATAATATTAAGTTGATTCAGTGCTAATTTAGGCCGCTTAAAGTTAATCATCAAGTAATTTATAAAACTTTTTTTATAGTTTTCATTTTTTGTGTGGTAACATACTGACAAATAGTAGATTTTCTAGTGTAAAAACTGACAACACCGGCTACCACGTCACGCAGGCAGTTGTCACATCGCGATATTTTTGTGGCTCTAGGGTGTGTGCATTCTTAAGTGTGTTGTGCTACTTATGTGGATTATTAGGTGATATTCTCTTTTTTACTGGGTATGTTATCTTCAAAATATGTACTACAATTTATTGATACTATGTCTGACAAGTTCCTCTGCCGAGACTTGAGATTTCTACCCATGATTTCTATGGGCCATAGTTGCCCGCCGGTGACTGTAATTTTATTGTAATCGCTAGACTGCGGCTATTTTATGATATTATACGTAGAACAACTAGAAATACGGCATCTTACACAGTTGTCAGCCGTAGATAAGCACTGGTCCAGTCACAATTTCGCATGTAATGTCACGCGGTTTTGAGGATAGCTTGTCAGTGGTTACCTCGATAGTCGCGCTGTAATTTAGTGTTTGTCTTCTAAAGTGGGATTTTATTTGATTGCAGATAGTAATCCCAAACCGCCAACATGCCGAAATCAGTGAGTATTGCATTTGTGTTTATTTATTTACGGGATGATCGCGCCAGGCGCTCTCAGGGTAGCAGTGTGCGAGTCGGTCGTGCCTGCGTCACTTTGCTGATTTCACCTTCGCAGTGTGATCAGACAACACATTAAGTCATCGGGGAAACATTAAAATTGCTCTACACTAGCAACATTTCTGTGTACTAACACAACTATGAACTTTCTCATTGCTCAGGTAATTAAAGTGGTTAATTGGGAATCAATGAACCTGTACATACACTTGTTTCACATTTTAAAAGTAAAAGTCTAAAGATAAGTGTGTTGTAACATTATACTATTATGGGTTATCAACAAAGCATGATATAGATAAGATGCAGATAGTACACTACTTAGAATAATACATAGCACTTAACATTTTTTGATGATGATTAAATACAATCATTTTACTACTAAGTAATATTGTTGATTTCAATTAAAAATTATGAAGTCTGTAGATATTGTATGCAGAACTGTAAACAAATTTCATTTGTCAAGTTAAAAATTGCAACTAAACAAGCTATCACCACATCCTGCTGGATTGATAATTTTATTTCCGCTGTTCTGTGCTGATTAGTCATGAATAGATTCCATTAACATACATTCTCATGCATCAGCAATGTTATGAATAATATTAATTGCCTTATATTTTCTGTATTAGCTATCTTGTGTTCATGTAATACAAACAAATCCAACTTTCTTTTGCCAGTTCTTTTGAAATATTTCAGTCACAATAAACATCAAGCTAGATTATGTCAATTAAGTCTTGAAACAACCCACTATTACTAGTTTACTTTTGTTTTCTAATACTAATTATCTTGTATAATGTTTATTGTATGTTTCTTCCTTTGTGTTTCCAGATACTTAATTATTTAAGCAACGCACTTGATTTAAACTCCGGTAACAATGAGTTGGTTAGTCATGGTTTGCAGTTTGATATTATTGATGTTTGATTTGTCAGTTTGGCTCCAGGACCAACAAGTAGCATGAATCTAAGCTAGTTTTTCATGGTGATAGTTGTTTTCAATGTGTTATTCTATGTTCCCATCCCCTTCAAATATTATCTTTGAGTAAATGCTATAGTTTAGTTAGTAAAATTCATGATATTCATCACTGACCCTATTTAAAAATCTACATACATGGTTTTGTATTGTGATTTTTGTGCCAAAGTTTTGTTTTTTCCCAACAACTTGGGTGATAAAATAAATGAATTATTGTCAAGTTAAACCATCTCTAAAGTTGAGTTTATGTGCACTGCACTGTATCCATTGTAACACACCTTGTAAGTAACAAGTGATGCAAATGTCTACTACAATGATTTGTGCCTAACTGTTACTAGCAGTACTATGTCATTGCAATGAAATAACAGCAAAACTGGTTATACTAGGTAACATGAGCAGGTAGTGTTTTTTCATCAATGTAGTCTTTGAGGAGCACAGAGAAAACAATATTGAATATCTCAAATTCAGAATTTGCAATTCTGTCAGTTATTATGAAGCATGAATTATAGCTACTGTTGTGAACTGTATTCTATAATTAATGTAAAAATAAATACAGGTGTATAATAGAAATGTTGTACTTTTACAAAGTTTTCCTTTGAAATTTTTTTTTTTTTTTCCACTACGAGGAAGCTCTTGGCCTGTATCTCACCTGATGGTAAGTGATGATCAGGCCGAAGGTGGAAGGTGGTATTTTTATTAACTACGAAATATTGGCATAGGCTGACAGTTTCTGCAAACATCTTAGAATCGATCCCATCGACTATCGTTGTGTAATGCAGGCGAGCTAAGCTGCGCAAGTGGGGAAGTGTGCCGCTCGTTATCAGCTTACGGGACGCCCCGGTCGCGTGCCACGGCTGGCATGCCTTATGCTAATCATGTTTGATGTATTGAGTATAGGTGACAGTGCTGTCCCTTTAGTTAGAACACCGCTTGAATTAGCGGACCTCGACCAAACAGCGCTGAGATCTTATTATGGATAGCATACAATGTTAAGAAAACGATAGAATCCTCAGTTTTAAGTTGGTAGAGGTAAAAAAACTGCAGAACAACAAAATTTGGTCTTGGTTCGCTCGTATAGGCTTATAGGACGCCGCGCCCCGGTCGCGTGTCACGGCTGGCATGCCTTATGCTAATCATAATGTATTGTATAGCTGACATTGATGTCCCTCTAAGTCTAGCACAGTTTAAATTAGCGTAGGTCTGGCTGGACCAAATACCGCTGAGGTCCGCTCTTGTAGGTTAGGAAAACGCCAGAATTCTCAGTTTCAAGTTAAAGAAATGTGCAGAAAAATAAAACTTGGTTCGCCCGTCATAGGCTTATAGGACGCCGCCCCGGTCGCGTGCCACGGCTGGCATGCCTTATGCTAATCATGTTTGATGTATAGTACCTATAGCTAACAGTGATGTCCCATATACCGTTTAAATTGGCGGACGGAGCAAATACCGCTCTTAACATGGATATCATATGGCATGATAAGAGATGAGAAATAGACTAGTTTATGAATAGGAAATGGCGATAGACACATTAGTTTGAATATTATGGTAGAGGCATGGAAGAATCACTCTTGGTTTTGGTAGCCCTAAAGTACCTACTAATGTAGATCAGGTAATGATTAATGAGCCTTTTAGTTTACACATAGAACCTTACCATAATACTTTTCTTGCCTAATTACGTAGCAGAGCGTAATTACCTGTCGGCTGTCACATGTCGAGCTTTCTTCCGGAGACGATTTTATCACGTATAATACGACACGACACTGGAAAGGCAAATAAAAATCCGAGAGTAAAAACGTCGGCTAAGCCAAGAAATTATAGTTTTTCCAATTTACCAACCGCAAAATTGAAAATTGTAAATCTTAACGATGACCTTAGAGATTATTATATAAAAATAAAAAGAGGATTAATACCAACCAAACACGTGATATTATAACGATTGCACGACTCCGATTGTGTGTTTATCGATTGGATCACGATTCAATTTAAAGATGTAGACGGCCAGGCAAAAACGATACCGAGAACACAGTTGACACAAACACAGTAGAGTCACTCCGTAATAAAACTGAAGCTTGCAAGAAGAAATTTGCTCTATTTAAGACACAAAACACTGAAAAAAAAATCTTAATCAAAATCAAAAGTATTTATTCAGTTTAGACCACAAGTGGCACTTATGAACGTCAAAATATTATTATAGAAAATAATAAAAAAAGAAAAGGTAGCCCTTATGGGGCACTTTACATGTCTCCTTATCTTTTGGGCCCTACCAGTAGTAATGAAAGATCGCACACCGCAAGAGTACTCAGAACACATCAATTTACTTTTTTTTTTCATAAGATTGTCTCAATTTGAGCTATTGACTGCCCTAAAAGTTGGCTTACTTCCAAAATTGTTCTCTTTTCTTCAAATTACAGCTCTTTATTTTCCGAACAAAAATTATGGATAACTGTCCAACTAGAACGCGAAACTGTCGAAGCTAACTAGAAGCATACTCGTAAATTCGGTCTCAAACAGTGTATTTTTTACAAATCCGCGTCGAGAACAATAGAGCCTCCTCCGCGCACCTGCGCTGTACAGGCTGCGGTCGGGCGGCGCCGGCGCAGCCTTGGGCTCGGGGAGCACATCCCCGCGGCGGTTCAGTTCAAACTCTAACGCCGCGTCCGGCAGACGCGGCTTCGGTGCCGTAACCCCTCACCCCCTCACCCTTCTACAGTGTAGTGCACTTTGTGCCCGTGACATTATATTTTACCCTGTGCTTGTGACCCAAAACTCAAGATGGTTGCCGGCGGAAAACAGGTATTATTACGCAATCAGATTCTAAATCCTAATCCTGTGATGACTCATCCGTTTTCAGACATCCTTATTTTAATTTCGGTTTCTTCCATGGGATTTACCTAAGCTAGTAGGTTATGTAAAGGCATTATAATCATTCTATAGCAATAAACCTTATCAGAAGAAGTACCTATCCACCACATACATTTGAGCTTGTTCACCTAGTAACAAGTTTCAGCTCCATCAAAGCCGTACGCTTCGTCAAACGAATAAATTACACAAGTTTTTAGTGTTGTTGACTCAAATCATAAGTTACGGTGATGTCATCGTAGCGCACATCCGAGGTGGTCTCGCCGCCGTCTTATTACTTATTTTGCATGGTTCAAACGGTCGTAACCGTCTTTCCATTCCCCGTCCTTATCCTTCCCGCCCATGGAAGCGAGACGCAAACCTTTTCCTGTTTTGCCGAAGCGAGGGTCCCTGACTTTCGTTTTCGTTTCGAATTTAGCCTCAACAGCTCTTTTTATAACTCCTTCGTATCTCAGGTTCATATTCCGACCGTTATCGTGGCGGTTTCTTTGCGCCTGAATTAGTAATTCACGAAATATCATTGACGTAGTCGTGATAAACCTAAATCGTATTGTTATCAAGTAAGGCATACAATTTACGCAATACGATCTAATCTGTACTGCCGATTTCCACAGAAGTCACTAAATCAAAAACGAATTAAAATTCTTGATCTATTACCTAATTATGCCGGTTCTGGCGCACTGCAAACTGTTCACAACACTGAGACAATGGCAACGCTATAATGAGTTCGTTCCTGAGATACAGAATTATCTTAGGTATTAATTTTAAATGTTTGTGGTGTGTAGCTGAAGTCCTCAAGGTTTTTCCTGCTTTTGAAATCTAATTAGTGTTGTTAAATCTGTAGGCACGTATGTAATTGTTGTCAATTAGTGTATGGCTGTAATTAACAATTTTATAAAATTAAATATTCTGTTAATTACGACCGCTTATTTTTTAGAATCTTCTAGGCTTTCCTCCTTTGAGGGAAATACATTATTAATTCGATTTCGAATAGGCAAGAATAGTTTTTCGCAAAATTAAGTGTGAGTGCAAAGATAGCAATCACCAATGATAATTATGCCAATACCTAACATTGCATTGTTCTTGTAACACAGCAACTGGTATAAATACTCCGTCTATTCAGTTCTTGACAAGCTATTGATGATACACAATAAAATAACAGGATAGTAAATTAAATACACAGGAAAATATACCTAATGATATAGCTAATGAAACTCCATTATTAGTATTAATTAATTAACGAATTGACCACAAGTTTAAACTTTAAGCCAGCGTTATCGGCAATACCAAATGTCCATAATAGGAATTTAGAAAAACCTTTTAGAATTCTGCAACTGTATAAATCAGCAAAGCCCTAAAGTATAAATTGTGACAGTAATTAGTAGAATTTATCTATGTACTGCTCAAGTTCTTACTGGATTTTTAAACGGCTTACTTTTTTGGATTTGTAATTGGACACATAAGGTTAATGGAAGGACATCGGATTACACGGTGGATCTTCCTCTCAATTCTAAAAATATATTATGTTCTGTAGACTGCAATTGTTGTTTTTGTACCCGTTCAAACAAGTCGCACGTCATTCATTCACGACATTGTGCAGCATACGTAGTTGTTACTAATTTGACGGTCGCTATGGTCTATGCCCATCTAGCGCCGTTTCACTCACACGTTGCGATTTCTAACAACAGTTGGGCGCATTTCTTTTCTATCATCACTTCAAGTTCGTCAAGTTTTACTTTTCAAGATCTCATTATAATTTGGGCTGTTGACACCAATTTTATGTTCTAGAACATTTGTCTGCTTTCTTGATAAGCTTCAAGTTTCCTCAAATTTATTGAAATTAAAATCGAAATGTTGAATCCACATTATTTAAATTGAATAACTCAGATCCCTGTTTTTACTGTTAACCCCCTTCATTATTTAATCCTTTCGTAAGTGAACAGATGTTCAATTACTGTCATTGTTCCAAAGTATCATTTCTACTCATTCAACACCAAGTCCATTGCTCGAAAGATCATCTACATATACATTTTGACTTCGAATCATCTGCCTTAATGATCTGGTTGTAGCCAGCCACGTGTCCCGACACCTGTTGCGGCACCTGCCATCAACAGATGCGTTGCCACTTCAACCCCTAATCTACATTTCCTGACATAACCCTAATCTGGTTCACGATCTAAATTAATGCAGCTTTTGTTAGTGTCCAAGTTCTTTGTTCCATTTTAAAGTTCAAATAGGTTAACTCCCGCTTTAGTAGGATACATGGTGTATGTACATTTCTTTTGGATCTTTTGCGGCTTCTTCGTTGTTGTTAGCCGACCGGTTACATGGCATCTAGAAGGCTGTCGGTTGTATTCAAAATTTAAACGTTTTGAATTTTAAACTAATCGCCAGTCATATTCTTAATCGGTAAAAGTTTTTCTATTGGTGAATTGAAGTTTTACCACAAAGGCTGCTCACTGCTGCCACTAAACATAGGAACTATTAAATTTTAATCGTTTGACAGCAATTACATTGCACTGGAGTTCAAGTACGAATATCTACGCAATTAGTATTCGTCATTATATTGTTCACCTCTATGCCCTCCCCTCAAGAGCCTTCCTAGTTACGACAGCAAATGTTTGCTGATCATGATGGATCTAGATGGGTGTGTTTGGATTTTAATGCACGTATTACATGGTGCTATCTTTCGCTTCGACAATAAGCTAGGTATGTCGTTCTATGCTTCATGTACAGTGTTGTCGTTTGATTAACTAATGATATCCCAATCATCAAGTACTTGCTGTTATGTCTGCCTGACTGATAGTCTCTAAAATAATCACTAGAACTCTAACATTCTTAACATTATTTTTTATTATTAAGTTATTTTGAGTTAGACGTGACAATATCTTTTTAACGATAACCTTACACTTTGAGCTTGCATCAGCATGTTTAACTATTCTCCTATTATCTGTTTTATCACAGAAGTCCGTGCTTCCAACGTGAATGTGAAAAATCCGGTAGTATGTCACTGAGCCTGAGCACGTACAAAAAGCTATTAGGCCGTTATCACTCTCCATAAAACTTATGGTATATGGTGATGACATCATCGACATATCTCGTGCACGGTGCCATTTTTATTCTTACTATTATGCCGTGGCCTCAAACTAAACCAATATAATATTACTTCAGTATGGAAGATGCGAGAAAAGGCCTTCTCAACTTCGCTGTCATTCGTATTCTTAGCAACATGATTAGCGTAATTTTCTAGGTCAATCACTTCATGCATTTTGATTCGTTTGCTCAAGTGGCTTGAAAAAGTAGATTATGAAAGCGTCTTCACGCGTATGCAGTTTTTATACTACTGCCATATCTATACAAAGTCTTAATCTCATACGATCACACGTACACTATGGGCTTGTCCTCGAGTTTCCCTTGACATGCGACTGTTGCTAAACGTTCACAATTATCATTATTGTAATAATTTTTGTCGATTAACGATGTTGAAAACATCGCCTGTTTATTATCCACTAGAGTGCTAAGTTCGTTTAACTGATGGTTTTTATCTATTCAATTATTCAAATGTTTTCATTAATAACATAATTTACAGAAGCCATAGCTAGCTTTGCCGTCAATAATGCAGTACATCGTAAAACCTTTAACAAACTAGTGCTGTTTTTCGCTGAACTATTTTATGCCTTTCTTAAACAGAAACAGTAAAAACTGAAACGCGATCACGATTCGTTTGTGTATTGACATTTCGTGTAAAACTAGTTGAAGGTAAATATCTTTTATACAATATTACGTGAAATCTTCCACTATTGCGGGACATATTTTAGTAGTTTTACTTGTCGACTGATTTATTCTTGTTTTTAATTTTCTTGCAAATTATCGAAACTGAAAGTCACGTAACATTGTTGTCATTCCCTGAATATGATAAAAAAAATAAGTCGAGTAGTATCATGATAATGATGATAAGTGAATGCATTGTCTAATCTAACTTGAATTCTTTTGGTCAACACGCTATTATCGTTAATACAAATTGTCTAGACAGGATAAAGTAACCCTGCGCTGACCTGTAGCTTGCACAGCTGTTGTGTCTTTTGTTCTACTTCTATCCCATCTGTTGAAGTGAGTCACAATTTCTCAGTTACCCTACCGTTTTGCCTTAGAACAATAACCGCTATAAACATCTCTTTCCAAAGGGTAAAAGGCTACAAAATTCTTTTTGTTACACATTTTTCAATGAAGTAGGTACTTTATGTTTATTCCTCTACTTCAAAATCTTTCGGTTTTTTGTTGTCCTTTCTATCGGTAAAATTATCTCCATCCTTATATGATTCACACTCAATAAAACTGAAGTTACCTTAACCTTATTGATGTACTTGTTTGAATATATTGCACCGGACCTGAATATAAATAAGCATCGTTTCTGTTATTCCTTATCCTTAACAATATCTCGCAAATACCAATGTTATAAGTATTTTTGTAAGTATGTTCGTTGTTATTGTGGCTCTCCCAAGATCTTTTACAATTCGAAACAGTTGTATGAAACTAATTTCGATACCTACTTTGGATTGGATATCCACTATGTGTAGTTTGCGAAAAGCACCCTAGATCGTGTAACAAATCTTAATTCACGCGGCAAATAAATCTAGCTGCCTTAAGTATTCTAGTTCTAGAAGTATAGTAGTTATTTCATTACACGTATCATTTCAAATGGTCGGAAATGTCTACTTTAGCTGCTCGTTTCTCTCATTAATGTGGTGGCAACATTCGCAAGGAGGCGAGAACTGTTGTCGCCAGTGCAAACATCCGCCGTTTACCCGCGATAAGCGCCTTATCGCGAATTAGCGTTTCTCAATCGAGCGCTGATTCATCGCCTCGCATCCTTAACTACTGCAGATGTTGGCTAAACGCGTCTTTAAAGTTTTAAACGCTCACATGGCCTTCGGATCCACTTTTTTTCCAATTTGCCAGACATTTTGACGTTTGCTCAACAGATAATATTACCGTGCCTTAACCATATTCTCAGATGAGTTAGCTTCATTTTATGAAGCGTGCTGATAATTTGATCTCTAATTTATTTTATTTCGTTATAAATATCAAATTGTATTTTTGCTATTATCTGGTAACACAATAAACAAGATCTTGTAGTTTTAATTTTTTATGGTGAGAAATTCTGCAATGAATTATAGTGTGCTTGCTTTAGCTGCTTAGTGTACCTGTTCACAGAAGGTTTCGCATGACACGTATGTAGCCTGTGAGATGACGAAATGACATTCCACATGACGCACACGACTGTAGGCATGTATCGTGATATCACTATTTACTTCAATTGTATTATGATTTTATTTTTCCTAAAGCCTTCAGACATAGGTATGACGTTTCCAGTTGCCAGAACCACATTCAAAACAGGTTGATCAACATAAAGGTACACTACATTGATGATGCCTTAGTGCAATAAATACCAGTTTTTAATACTTGTTACGGACACGGATAATCCCAACAAGTAACGAACGATTACCATGGCCAATCTTCGCTTTTACCTTCGTTTACAGAATACTTAGTAGTAATGATAGCTCATGCGGGCCTGATAAGTTATAAATAGGGAGACCAAGGCAGCCCCGGCCTCGATAGCATGAATGAACGCATCGTGGCATTACGCAGCCATTGTTAACATCCCGGAGATAAAATCTCTGCATGACAAGCTACTATTGTAATAACGCTGAAGACATCCTCATTCAATGTTGATGCAAATTTACAAGCGCCCCGATCTGATGATAAAACGATATGTCACTGAAATGCTTCATTTTGCATCTTTGAATCATTTTAAAATTATTAGATCTCTTGCGCATTGCATTCATTGCATTTTTGTTGTCTCTTGTTTTAATCCATCACCCAATCAATAAGCGCGTATCTGAAAAAAACTTCCGTAAAATCATAACTAACTAAGCTCAAAGTGTTGGCATTCAGAGTGTTATTAGATTCTCATTATTAGTATTGTTGAGGAGGAAAATAGCTGCAAATGATTAAAGGTTTATTATTATGTCAATTATACGAACATCCACGTAGCGTAGAGCTGCGCCGATGACATAATCACCCCCGGAAGATCACATCCGCTTGGCAGCGGCCCAACAGCATCGAGTAATTTTAGAACCAAACAAATGTCTCTTTTTCTATTTTTACCGATGCCTCTTATTTTTTTATTATTGTCAATCGCTTTCTTGTGAAGCTTTAATTAACTTTCCCCTTCTTTTTCTGAACACATCGAGTTGGAAACCAAACCAAGTTGGTTGCCAAGATTTCCATTCGAATACATTCTTCGATGTCGTCATAAATCTGTTAATTATCTATTGTTTAACAGTTACCGACTAAAACCCTACCGATCATTATTGTTTATTGATTGATTCATTCATGCACATCTAAGAAACTTCTATAGCGTTGGAAAGTTCTGTTTTTATGAATCCTGATTTTAATACCTGCGCAGACCTTTAAAAATCTGCCAACATTGATCTTATATCGCGAGGGCCAGCTACTTGTTGTTTTGTCTTGCATCCCGCGTCCTCAATATAAGTTTTCTTCGCCATATTTGAGTTGAGGTCATACCTTTGCGGTCAGGCGCAAGGGCAGTTGTCGTATTCATTCTGTTATGCAGCTGTCGACACTATTTATTCGCTTATTAATAATATACGTGCTATTGCCATAATGAAGACGAGGTCACATCGATGCTGTGACAATTTCTAAAAAAATATTTGTATCTATCGTTTCATTGAATATTAATACACGTTTTGCATAACGTGATCCACCTGCATAACCAGTGCATCAGAGTTCATTCCACGAAGCAATTTGTATTCCCATTGTATTATGGTGGCTAACGCTGTTATTATGGTACCTACATTCACAACTTCTAGTTGCTAAACCATTCATTTTAAGTTATCTACTGCATGATATCCTTTTGATAACTGTGTCTAGTCTACATACCTGGTACTTGATGTACGAAATATTCATCCAAGTATCCTTTTAAACGTATATGTTGCTAGCATTAATTTAGTCTGTAAAAGTAAAAGCACTCTCGAGTGAATCGAGACTAATTACATCCCTATTTCTGTATCTCGCGTGCCTTCACATTCAAACCCTTATGTGTACCATACCATACTTGAAACGCCCACATAAATTCCAGGTTGTTAAAACGTTGTGCAACTTCCAGATGAACGTCCGAGTGACGACCATGGACGCGGAGCTGGAGTTCGCGATCCAGCAGACGACGACCGGCAAGCAGCTGTTCGACCAGGTCGTGAAGACCATCGGCCTCCGCGAGGTCTGGTTCTTCGGGCTGCAGTACACCGACTCTAAGGGCGACCTCACCTGGATCAAGCTCTACAAGAAGGTTAGTGATAGCTCTATTCAGTTCTCTACATTTGTGATTGCATGTTTTAATATCTGTACCACTTTTTTCAGCATTTCTTTCACTGTTTTATTGATTTTTTAACAGTTATTATAGTTTGTGTCTAATGTTTAGTTAAATTACATTCTGCAGAATCATAACTGCAAACTCTAACGTGCATACTCGTCGTGAGTAGCTATTATGCCTCGTGTCTTACCAGAGGTTAAATAACAACTCATTAGTGACACATGTACTTGTAAAATAATTAAGTCTTGTGAGAACCAGTCTGGTAAGATTACATAAATACGTATAAGTTTCGCTTTGTGGTAACCATACATCAAGAACGAGATGATAGACTTGATGCGTCTTTCTGGCGGTATTTTACGTCGTGCTTGAATATAAAGAGTTTGAAACTCGTACTACTTAGAAGTGGTTGGACGTGTTAATTTCATGCGCGGAGCGTAACAAACGTGAAACGTATTTGCTTACTTAACCACCCGAACTCGTGCACACAAGCGCTCCATCCCAACTGGTATCTGCCCGCGACTCGCCACAAGCGCCCGCGCAGCGATGTAACGATTATTTTTAGCGGAACCGACGCCGATGCGCCAAGTTCAAGTTTGTTTTGCTCAGCCGTTTGTTCATTGCTAATATTTTACGCGTGTGTACTCGCCTAAACATATTTAGCAACGGATTTGGCTTTTAGTTTTTGGATTAATGAAACAACATTCACTCGGGACGACCTTGATCGTTATCTGACTATGAAAGCGTGTGTGTGATGACAAGATGTTACCGCCTACATACGATATGCTTCAATGCAAAATTAAGACCCCGCTGTAGGATCAAAGATTTCATTAATGAATATTGAATCCTAAAATACCTCGTAATGTATTTGGATGATTTCTAAAGAAGTAACAAAGTAACATCCTCAGCCCGCTTCCTCAAACAAGCGCCTTGACAAACACAATTCTCATTGAATTCTGCGCGCGTTTCCGTCGTTGGACTCTTCACCCATGAACACAATTCTGTGAAATTGTTTTCCTCACTCCGTATCCTCGACTGGCATTGACCTGGAAATCGATGCATGCCGTCATCGACTTGCCTGAATTTATCATTTAAATACCTACACTACATGCATGTAAAGCTGCCAGATGTGTCGAAAATTACAATAACTCGTGAACTCAAAGTCTACAGAAGAATCGGAATTGGACGATTATTTGAAGAATCAAAAAGAATATTCGAATATTTTTTTCATGCATAAATAAGTATCTTAAATCTATCTAAGCAAGGTCGACAACTACTCTCGTATGAATATTCAAACGTTGCTATCACTCAAACCTTGGACCCACTTACCACTAGTGTTCGGAAACCCGAAGGCTGCTCAACTCAATTTCGATAGCGCATCGCGAGAATGCGAAGAGAAATCATTGTTAGGTATTTGGAAATTTATTCGGACAACAACTGCTTACCAATTATCGCGATGGTACAATGGAGCCGAAAGTGAATGCGTTCGTCGTTTGCAACTTGGTGTTGGTATTACTAAGTTGTCTCGCGGTCTTTGGTGATACCTTCATGCTACCATTCCAGACGGTCACAAAATTGCGCCATACTATCAAAATTGATATAATTTAATCCAGTAATATGGCATTGTATTGTAATGACAGAGCGTTGTCGTTTGATCGCCATCAAATCGCGATTAACAGCAAAATGGGTGACATACCACCGGACCTGTTCGCGCACCAAATAAATAATTATGGTAATGTGCTGCCGGTGTCCCAATCAAACATTCCGCGTGCCGTTATTCGCGCGAGTCGGTTCTAGCGTCCAACGGTTTAAATACGACATCTAAACTAACTGGAATCATAATATGCTAATGATTTTGATCCTATGTTCTCTTCTTTTTGTAAGTCACTTCTATGAAATACCCCTTTTTCTTAGCCATGTTATTTTCGTTTGAGAGCTATCCTAAGATATATTTCAGTAATAGGTACCTAGTAACTACTTTTTCTCCCATCCCAACTTTCTGCCTCAGTGACTCATCGGTTTGAAAAGTTTGTAGCGCAAAAAAGGGAAAGGATACCTACTCACTGGTTATTCCCAAAAACCGTTTCAACTGATATCTAAGGAAATAAAAACTCTTGTCTGTTGTTATGTTTAATTTCAAGTACATCGCTTGTATAGTCCATAATATTGGATATTCGTTTAAAATTCATGAAGCTATATATTTGGGCTAGGTGTAACCGGATCTAGGCGTGAATGCGTGGTACATCTTATCATAGGACAATAATTACACTGCCAGCGTTTCGCCACCATGATAAGATTTCCCTGTTAAAATGAAGGCGATTTTAGTTCGTTTTCTGAACCAAGAGGACTGAAATATTTAGAGTTCATTGTCTCTACTAAAACGTCTGGCTTAGTCAAACCAGTTTCTATCAATTCTATATTATACCTAGCTTGTTTGATGAATTTGGATTTGTCTACCTAGCATTTCAAATCGAAATTGGCAACAAAAAACAGTTTTCGCATTCGTAACTATCAGAATCTTCAGATGACGTGAAGACCATTGACCGTATTAAAAGCGGAAGTTGGATCTGAAAATTACGCCAACACAGTACATTAAAAATAAATTAAAATAACACGGCAACCACTGATGAAGTTGACGCGCACGATAACAATCTCGATATTGGAGCCAGCAAAATTCTTTCCACAATCATTGATAAGTTACCTAATCGTGCTTTCAGATACGCTGTATCGAATAACGATAAAATGTACGTGTCTATTATCTGCAGAGCTGAATAAACTATTCCAATTATTGTTCTTACTACTTTGATACTCATAGTAATTCATTTTGATATCGTCGATACAAGTCACCATTGGCAATAATTACAAATCGACACTAAAATAGCAACAATGTGACTAATGTAATCGCTATGCACATAATTCATCCAATAGAAATCAAGTGGGTTACGTAATACTTAATTAATCGAATATTTTGCGTGCCGAGTCGACTCAAACGAACGTGTCGTTTGCGCTGTTAATGAATGAAAGGGAACCAAGGCTGAGACGGTAGATTAAATTTTTACTAAAGATTCCTTTTCTTGTATAAGAAGAGTTGTATCAGTGTAATCGCTCATTGATTCAGATGATTTCATTTGCGGTTTCAACTGTCCACGTGCCGGCCGTAAACACGGCCATTGAGAGAGTTTGATAAACTGCCAGCGAACAAGCCGTGTTGATAAACCGGCCAGCCTGCGCTTTCGGCACAAAGTCATAAAGCACTCTGGAGTACAGCACTAATGCAACACTTTTACAACCCTGATTTACATGCTCAATATCCGCCCGGCAACATAAAATGAAGATGTTTAATATTCATAAAATAGAGCACACTTGCACATCCTATAAACTGGCCGGTTTTTATGGGAATGTAGCAAGCCTAATAGGCTTACAACGACTTGATGCATCAAGTGCGTAGAAATTGCTATTGTAAACATGTGGGAAGCACCGAGAACAGTGATTCTGGTCCTAAAAAGGAGTTACCAATAGGCTCTATCTGTGCGCACTCTAGTGTTACTGCAATATCAATGTCCGTAATATTATATTCCATTTATAGAATCTATTTGTGCCGCGAATGGGGTGAGTCAGCGCGAACTGCTTCGCTTTCAAGCGGCTCGCGTGTTGCCTTTTCGAAAGAACTCGATTTAACATTCTGTCCGAAATAAGTCAACATATTTTACTGGTTACACGGAAAGACGGAAATGAATCAGAATTGAAATTAGGACCTAATGTTTTCTGAAATCGCACATCATTATTTTATACTAGCGGCCGCCCGCGACTTCGTACGCGTGGATCTCGTTTTACCCCCCCTTCATCTATCTTACGCGGTTTTTTCATACAAATGTTTTTTCCCGCTAACTCCCGTTCCCGTAGGAATTTTGCAATATCCTGTTGTAACTAAGCTTAAAGTTTACTGAGGTACCTGCATGCCAAATTTCAAGCGTCTAACTTAAGCGGTTTAGATTTTTCATACACAAGGATTTTCCCGCTGATTCCCGTTCCCGTGGGAATTCCTAAGTATCCTATAACCTGCCCAGGAGTATGAAGAATAATTGTAGCAAGTTTCGTTAAAATCCGTCGAGTAGTTTTTGTTTCTATAAGGAACATACAGACAGACAGACAGACAAAAATTTTACTGATTGCATTTTTGGCATCAGTATCGATCACTAATCACCCCCTGATAGTTATTTTGAAAATATATTTCATGTACAGAATTGACCTCTCTACAGATTTATTATAAGTATAGATGAGAAAAATAACCCTATTTCTATAAAAAGATCTTCAATTTCAGATTGCATAAATGTTTCATGATCGCATAAAAAACTTTTTTTCGTAGTTACCAATTTCGTTTTCGGTCTATCATTGTTAGTGTTCGTGTATTTTCATGACGATTGCGTGTGAATAGCCCGTTGTGTCATACATTTCACTGATAACATGAGCTGTTGTCAGCGGCCTCACAGCGGTGCCTTCTCCAATGATTCACGCGTCTAATACCCTGTGTACTTAGCTTGGCTACCAAGGCTGCTGTTGGCTAGACGGAAAATTTGGATTAGATAAGCCAAAATAGAGTTGCTCTAACCAAGAGATTTGCAAAAACACGCAAACCATCCTCTTAAAACCTATACAGAACTGCACTCACCACAATTTAGAAATTGGAGCAAAGTCAAAAAGCGTTATTAAACCTCAATAATGAGCCGAGCAGCTTCCGTGCACTCGTTACCAGCACGTGTGGTGGCCAGCAGTTACATTTTATCTCGACCGTTATAAAGTTTTAATCACATGTGGCTACCAACCGGCGATAATGAATCACAAATTTTCGGCAACGGTCGAACCTCCCGCGTCCGTAAACCTATATTTACGGAAAGTATATTTCATAAAAACTTTGTCTAAAAAAATTGTAGTTTCTGAAAACCGTTTGAAACACCATGACGTAGCAAAAAGAAATACAC